CACATTTTGGGAGTGGAGGACCCAATGCCAGCTAGGAAGTCAGCAGGTCGGTTCCCCTCGAGGAAGATGTGCGATATCTGAATGCGAATCGACTGAAGAGTGGCTCTAATACGCATAAGAGGATGTTGAATCTGCCATGTGCCCTGATGGTCAGAGATCAAGAGAGTGATGACAACGGCAACTTCTAAATCTATCCAAATGCTAGTGGAGATCGAGGCAACAATCTGAAGGTCGATTTGAAGCGCTTGAACCTTCGCATCATAGCTCGAGGAGGCCCGAAGAGGGGCATGAAAACGGCACTCAGAGCGCCGCTGTGGTCCCTAATCATGCCCCCACCTCCGGCGGCTCTAGTGAGTCAGTCAAACGATCTGTCAGTGTTTAGCTTAACCCAAGGAAGCTCGGGTTTGAGCAAAACAACAACTCTGGGGCGTGGGTGCTGGACCGGCGGCAATAGAGATGGTGCAAAGCGCTGAGTGTTGTAAATATTTTTCCAGAGTAGAATTGAAAGATTCAAACACCGGGTCATGTCTCTCGAGGAAGACTAGCCAGATTACTGTGTACGTTTATTCAAACACAAAAAGAGAAAATAAAATTCCTAAACATACTGAATCGAAGATTGGTTTTGGTTTTTTATTATCAACTAATAAAATTTAAACAACGCAAATTGATATAGCGAGCTAACACGTAGAACAAGCAAGATTTAAGAAGCTAGGGAGTCGGGGATATTCGTTTTGGTTCGAAATGCAATTATCAAGCAAGAAATTTTTTTGGTTAGGTGATTTGAATAGACAGCTCGTTCAATTACTCATTCTCAATAACACTTCGTAACAAGAGAACAAACCTAAATGACAAGCTAACAAGTCATTTAACACCTAGGCAATACAATTACAAACAAGCCTAGGTTATACGAGCATATTTCGACCGACCCATCCCCTTTCGGTTCTAAGAGTCGATTAAAGAGGACTAGAAGGTGGTTAATCAACTAGTTCTTTTAGAATTATCAACATCATGCATGAATTAATCGAATTCAATTAAACAATTAGAAATTGAAGTGTTACCCTTCAACAATTCTCAAAACACAAGAACGAAGATTGAAAACCCTAGAAAAAGATCAACTCATACAAATTGAACAATCATGAGCTCGACAATTACAAACGATTCCAAAATATCAATCCCCTATCCCTAGCATAAGGATTTAGCTATTCATAATCGAATTATCAACATCAATCATAATCAAAGCAAACATATCCATGGATTAAATTTCTAGAAAACTTACGATTAATAGAAATTGAATGTTGAATCCGATAAACACGATTAATCCAAAAGCAAAAAAGAAAACCGAGTTGAAATCCTTGTTCTACGTTCAAAATTATGAAGAGAGTGAAGAAAAACGAGTTCTGGAAGAGAAGTGTACGAGAAAAACTTAAAACCTAGATTAGAGCCGAATAAAAACAATTCTAAAATCTGCTATCAAAATCTTAAGAAATGCGACCTCCGCGGCCGCAGAAGGTGAAATCTGGGCGCGCCTAACACGGCGTGAGAACTATCTCGCGGCGCGGCAAGATAGGACTCCACGATGTGGCAGGCGCTTCACGGCGTGGCAGGGCGAAGGGTCCCGCGGCGTTACGATCTCCGCGGCGCGGTGCAGGAGTTGGGCGCTCTGAAGGCCCGTGGCATGTGAAACGAGGATCCTCGTGGCGTGGTACAGGAGCTAGGCAGCTAGCACTATGTCGCACGACTTGTGTTTTGGCTTGTATACGCTCGTCTGAACTCTGTTTTCTCCTGTGTGATGCCCACGAACCCTTCTACGAAATTATGCTTACCAAGATAATTTCCTCCCCCATGTCAAAACGATCAAGGAACTCAACCTGCACACCACTCAAGACGAGGAAAAACGCAAAAATCTGGAAAAACAAACTAATACCAACGAAGAAGCTAAAACTAAGAGAAACACACAATAACCTATAAAATGAATTAAAACCAAAGAAATGACCTAAAATGGGGGAAAAATAAAGGTAAAATAATAACGAAAAACATAACAAAAAAAAAAACAAACACTGATGTGGCGTACAGCCTGTCCAATCTCTCGGCGTGAGTCTACCCAGAGCGGTGAGAAAAGATAGATGTCTGTCAACCTGTAAAATAATATGGGAACACAAAAAAGGGTTATCCATATGTTTCCTATTATTCCTTTCTGTCCAGGTGGACCAAAGGATAATACAAGGAATAAGGAAGCCCACGTGCCTATCGTGTGTGCTCTGTGTGAAAAAAATCAGAAACTCAAAGAAGTTATCTGTGGTGGAAAAGGGTATATGGGTATAACTGGAATAATGCTCCCACACTCTCCTCACAGTCTCGCACTCAAGAAACAAATGGGTAAAGGTATCAGTCTTAAAATCGCCGGTCTCAATATAGCATCGGGAGGAAAAGGAGAACTCCCTTGCCTGCATCACAAAATCAATCTGTAGGCAGTACAGAGTAAGGCGCCATAGGAAAACATAGTTGGTCGGGGTAAGTAGGTCAGTCCAGATGGCCTCGAATAGAATGTTAGGCCGGTCACCTAGCCGTACTTTACCCCCAAGTCGAGGTCGTAGAGAATGCACCTGAGATGTAAGTCTTCATCTTATACTGCCAATACCATCCTCCGAGATGGGTATCTGCTGGATTTGATCGATCATCTAGTCACTAAAACTCACTCTGGTTCCCAGAACCGTCTCTAACCTTTCCGTATCCCTTCCCCATCCGTCCACAGGTCCTACACCTGCAGAAAAGGAAGGTGGGTGACATGTGTAGTGCTCGAACGGGGGCCCTCACCAAAACCACCACTCATCTCAAAAGGTAATGTCCCCCTCACCCAGAGTCCAAGAAATGTACTTCTGAGCACTTCTACCACCCATAGTGAGCCACCTCCACTGCCTGATATCGCCAGCGGTGGCTGTCAGCCTGCAAGGGTATGCAGCGCCTCCAAGACAGTACCTCCAGTGAAGATACTAGCCCAAAGTGACTTACTCTCCCTAAAACGCCACCACATCTTATAGGAGAATGCAATGACGACATCAAAAAAGCGTCGGATTTCTGAGGCCCCCTTCAGATATGGGGAAGAAAACGGAGTCTAGCTTCACCCAGTGGACCTGTCTCCCTCCCTGGGAGTCCTCCCCATGTCCCCAAAAATAACGAGCCAAGATCTGATCTAGCTAGTGAATCGTAGACTGGTGGGGGTCGAGGACCGTAAGGAGGTGAATTGGGAGGGCGCTGAGAGTGGTTTTGATCAGAGCAAGTTGACCCCCAAAGGAGAGGTGTCTGTGAGACCCACAGAGATCCCGTCAATCATCCTCTGCCTGACGTTAGTAAAGAGCTCATGCGAGAGATGTCCCTTGTACAGGGAGGGCACCAAAATAGGTGATGAGAAGGTTGCAACGCGCAAAGCCAGTGCGCTCGTAGACCCAATGGGTCCACTGGTCCTTAATGTGATGATCAAGGGTAAAGGTGCTCTTCTGCACACTGACAAGCTGACCGGAGGCCGAGCTGTAGTGCCCATGAGGCGCATGAGCTCTGCCAGTCTATTACTATACGCACGAGTGAAGATAATCATGTCATCCGCATAAGAGAGGGACGAGATGGGGGACCATAGCCACGCGTGCTATAGGTCATCCTCGGGAAATCGTGGATGAAACCGTCAAGGCAACGAGACATGTAGTCCGCTGTCGGGACAAAAAAGGGAGGGGAATAAGATCCCCCTGCCAAAGACTACGGGTGGAAGAGAAGAATTTATTGGGGCTATCGTTAACTAAACCCGGGAACGTGCAGTGCTCTACGCATGCCTCCACAAAACAAATCAAACGCTCAGGGAATCCTATCTGGAACAGCCTCCGTGAGAAACGGCCACTCGACCCTAGCATATGCCTTAGTCATATCTAGTTCCAGCACAAGGTTCGTGGCTCGCAGCCGGTTCGCATGGGAGATGTTGTGAATCATCTCCTAGACCAAAAGGATGTTATCACTGGTGACTCGATTCTTGACGAAACTACTCTGGTTCGGAGAGACGAGAGAAGGGAGGAGACCAGCAAGGCGACTGTTAAGGATCTTGGAAATGAGCTTTAGCAACTCAAGTTTGATCAACAAGTTGATGTAATGATTGATCTGGAACTGGGTATCAATAAGAAGGATTTGATTCCCAACCGCACGACTAAATAATATGATCCACTAGTAGCACTGCTCAAATTGACCACATAATTGAATTATTTTAAGTTACAATTTCACCCTACTCAAGACTTTTAAGCACAAAATGCTCCACAAAATAGGAGACAAAATAAAACTATCACTACCCCACAAATCCATAAGGCATGGCGCCATTTGAAAACTCCAAATTAAAATTAAATGATAGAAAAAAANNAAAAAAAAAAAAAAAAGGAATTTCCTTTTACCCCTTTTAAATTATGGGCGGGAATGAATATCTGTCACTTCTACGAAAGCTCAGATATTTAAAAGAATAAAAATAAAATGGGTATAAAGGTGAGAGAGTGGTGGTTGTTACTTGTTAATTGTTATATACAACAATTAAAAAAAAAAAAAA